ATGACAGTTTTGTCTTATCCTCTATATATTAAAGGAAAAATATTTTAGAACAAAATTGCTTAGATGTCAAGCCCACACTTTTTCACTTTTTTAATTAATAAAATTAACTTAAAATTAAATGCTCTTATACCATTGTCCAAACATCCTCTAAAAATACATAATACCAACTTGGATACACTAATTCCAATTGCCAAACATATTAGAATATTAATAAACTTGCCTAAAACAATTAGCTAAAGATTGTAATATTAATTCTTACCATTAAAATTAAATAAAAATAAATATCTATTTCAAAAAAATATATAATTTTAAAATATTTATTTAGTTTTATGACCAATTAGTTAGATCGAAATTTGTATTTTAAAAACTATATTTCCACTCTTATAATTATCCTAAACCTATAAGATTCAATATATATATATTTATTAATAAGTGATATATGTTGACTAAAAAATTAAAATTGTTGTTTTCAATTATTTCACGGGTGGAACACATTTCTATATAAAATAAATGCAAAATTTATATATATAAACGAGTTTTGGATTCTGTATAATAACTTTCCCAATAACTATAGATATTTACAAAGTTTACTTTAATTTCAATCGCCGAACACATTATAATACTAATAAACTTGTCTAAAACAATTATTTAAAAATCTTCTATATATTAATAGAGGAGACACTAAGTGAAAATTATAGGTATCATCCAAAGAGGTTTTAAGGAACCTTTGAGGAAACCTATTAAAATTTCTTAATAACATTATTGTGTAAATAATTACACTAAATTTATATCACATATACAATATATAACTATTAAACATAGATGGAAGCAAGGAATATGTGGTAATTAATATGGAATGTTTTATTTAATAAATATAAAATATATGTGAGAAATATCTTTTTTTTTTCAATGACAATTAGATTTTTTTGACATGCGTTAAATACGGGATTAGAATATTCAAAAAAAAAATCATGATTTTCCTATATACGGGAGAAAATTAAAATAACAAAGATATATCTCCAGTATAGATAAATATATTTTATATTACAAAATTTAATTTGCATGATACTTAAACTAAAGGGATAATTACAAAAATACCACTTTTTGTGTGCACATTTGTAAAAATGCCACTTAGGGGTGTCCATTTACAAAAATGCAAATAATTATAGATTTATAAAGCCTATATCTTAAAATTCTAAACCCTAAAAAATGTTTTGACACCTAAAACCCCCTAAACACTCAAAACTAAACCCTAATAGAAAATAATTAACCAAAATATAAATAATATAAAGAAATTTTTTTTTGAAAAAGTGGCATTTTTGCAAAATTTCAAAAGCATTTTTGTAAAGTGGCACTTGAAAAGTGGTATTTTTTGAAATTTTTCTAGCCTAAATGCAGATAATTTTTTAGAAATGCCAATATACAAAAATGTTATCATTTTAAATTTTTTTTTTTAAATCTCACTAATCCTCTACAATAATAATTGAATAGACATTTGTATGTATTATTCAATGAGGGTTTTAAGGAATATGTCATTTCAATTAACTAATAAAAATATTATAATTAAAACTATATGCTATGGTAGAAATTGCTATATATTTTAATTAATTTTATAACATAAACCCATTAATATATATATTTTATAGAGTTAAGTTTAACTAAAATATAATATTTAGACTTACTATATCATCTATTTTAAGAAAAAAAAATTGATATATTAAAAAGTTTTTTATTATTATATTTGTAACAATAATATTTATGTGTAGATGATAACTACACTTACAAATATTTTTAAATTTTATTATTAGAAAAAAATATATTTTTTGTTTGTTACGTCTGGCAAATTTATATAAATCTAAAATTTATTTGATTTATCGCATACTATACTATTTACACAAATAATAAAACTCAATTTGACACTTCAAATAAATTGAAATAAATAATATTTGTATTAGTTTTAATATTTTATGCAAAATTGATCAAAACATATGACATTGAAATATGTTTAGTAAAAATTTATTTTTGTTATATTTATGCACAATACATATCATTTTGTACGTTTATAAATATTTAAAATACACATCAAAATATTAAGATCGATTAGAAAATATATTTCAATATTTAATCCCACGCTTGGCGTGGGTCAAAATCTAGTTGTAATATTAATTCTTACAATTAAAATTAGGAAAAAATGC